GGGGGTTGTTAATGTGCGCAATAATTGTTACAATGCCCCGCGCGTGGGCTGCGCGCGCGCCATGTTGAGACGACCACTTCAGGGCAGCGAACAGTGAGTTTCTACGATAAAAGACTTCAGAGAAGTATAGAAGCACTTTGTACGTGTGCAGTGTAAGGATGTAACAGGGCAGGGAACAGTGAGTTTCTGCGATAAAGGACTGCATTTTGACATTTTGAGACCCTGTACGTGTGCAGTGTAAGGATTTAAAAGGGCCGGGAACGAGGAGAAAAATTGCGCAGTACAAGGACGGTCGACAGTCTCGGGCTGTATCTTGATTACGATGGCATATCTATCGCTTACTCCTGACAGACGATTTCACAGCTTGGAAAACAAAATGGGGTGGTTTAAGAAACCTAATTCGATAATCATCTTTACCGTTCAGATTGGTCATTTAGGGCGAGATCAAAACAAGACCGATAGACAGAAACAACAGAGAGAGAGAGAGAGAAAAGAAGCTGACTCTTCCAGTGGCATGGTAGCCTCCGACCACCAGCTTGTCTGAGCAAACTAACTGTGTGCCCCCTGGACCGAGATTTCGAAATTTACATATCAGCCTGACAACGATCACTCCTGGCATGAAATAGGAAGACAGGTACATGACGACAAGGTGGAAAATACAGACCTCACACGAGAACCCACCAACCAGGCAATGGCTAATGCACATGAAAACCCTCCCAATTTAGCGGATTCCGCTCAAATTCACACAATTCAGATCATCGAGAACGAGGCAGCGGAAAAGCAAGATACATAATACAATGTATTCTCACGTAGGTGGTGGGGTTTGAGGGGAGGGTTTTGGGTGTTCGACCAAATCCTCCCTAACACAACAGAGACGCTGGTATGGCGCAGACCACACAACACCGTCCACCAAATTAATTGTTGTAGTTTGACTACAGAGAGACATATGGACACAATAACGGCCACCAAATAGTGCTGGTTACGGTCGCTCGGTCGGACGGACGGACAGACAGAAATAATAACGGGGTAAAAGAAGTAGGACTACCAGTGGCGCCCTCCAACCACCCATGCCCGCATGAGCAACAACAACACGTAACGCGATACGAATGCAGGAAGAAACCTTCGCCAAAAACCAGGACCAGAGAGCAGAGGAACGCCAAAGAGAAAAGCCCAGCCGGCTAAATTTAGCCAGCGTTTATGACGCACGAGGTACGAACCAAAATACACTCCCCCGAGTGACGAAAGGAGGAAAGAGTTGGGAACGAGCAGCACATGAAGAGAAGGGTACGGGGAAGGATGTGGCGGGGGGGG